TGGGGGGCAGATACTCAATCCATGCTTAGAATACATAACGCTTTAATCCGTTCTAAACTTGATTATGCGGCTACTGTTTATGGATCAGCTAGAAAGTCTGTTTTAAGGTATTTGGACACCATCCATCATCAGGGACTCAGAATTGCCACAGGAGCTTTTCGCACATCACCTATTAGTAGCTTATATGCATTGTATAACGAACCTTCTCTTAGTTCGAGGCGAAATAAACTGTCTCTGAACTTTTACTTTCATATAAAATGTCATCCTTCACATCCATTGTACTCTCATGTTTTAACACCATCATGTTCTACACATTTTAGCAACCGACCTGCCTTAATTCCTACTTTTGGATTAAGGATGAAAAAACTCTTGACTGATTTATATTTAGAAGATTTTAATGTTTTAGAGATTGCAGAACTTATTCCTTCTTGGAATAACATCAAAGTTAAAATTTTCGATATTTTTGAAGGTTTGACTAAGGACGAAACGTCTCCAGTTATATATCAACAAATATTTTATGCTTTCTTACAGCATTTTAATGACTTTCGTACAATTTATACTGATGGCTCTAAATTTGATAATCATGCTGCCAGCGCGGTTGTGTGTGACTCAGAGGTAATTTCAGAGAAGCTACATTCCGCCTTTTCCGTTTTTTCTTCTGAATGCAACGCTATTTTGCTTGCTCTTCAGTTTATTTCTAGGCAACTGTACAAAAAATGGTTGATTTTCTCTGATTCTAAAAGTTGCATCGATGCACTTAAGAATCTTGACAATAAACCTCACTCTATCATACATCATATAATAAATACATATTTAAGCCTCAGTAACAATAGCTTTGAAATAATATTTGTTTGGATCCCGGGACATGTAGGCATTCCAGGTAATGAAAAAGCTGATTCAATAGCCAAGTCAACACACAATCTCTCTAATAAATCACTAAGTTTATATGATGTTCAAAATTTGATTGCGGATTCACTGACGCAGCAAAGACAAGTTGACTGGGATGGTGAGCTAAATAACAAACTGCACGAAATAAAACCATTACTTAAACCATTTACACCATGTTACCAAAACAGAAAATCACAAGTCCTCATTAACAGACTGCGAATTGGTCATACTCGTTTAACGCATAAACATTTAATTTTAAATGAAACTGCTCCAACATGCAATTTTTGCCTCGAACCTCTTACAATGAAACTTTTCTTGACACAGTGTTTAAAATTTAAATTGAAAAGAAGCCAATACTTTAACTGCTATTTTCCAACCTTATTGTATCTACTTGGAGACCCACCTCATCCTAACTTAATGCTTTACCTTAAAGACATCGGATTTTATAATTTGATTTAGTTCAAATTTTAATAAATTAACCAGTTTTATCGCATTATATTGATTTTAGCCAAATTACTTCAGTTGTTTTGATTGTAACCAAGATACTTCAAATTTAACCTCGTGTTTGGATTTGAACTAAGTTACATAGACTTTAACCTTGTGTTTCAATTTTAAATATGTTATATGACCTTTTAACCTAGTTTTAGGCCTTTTAACTATGGCTCTTGCGCCAAAAATTTACAACACTCACTCACTATAGTTTCAAATAAGAGCTATTAATGTTGTTGTCTTATTCCAGGTGGTCTAGCCCCAAGGATAGACCAAATCCAGAGCCCAAGAATCTTCAAAAAATTTAATACAAGATGAGGACTAGAGTTCTAGAAATGAGTTCTAGGGATGATACAAGATGAGGACTAGAGACTCATGTCAGTCGAGGATCGCACAGTTCAAAATATGTTTGGGAGAGGGTAGCATGTAATTACTGTTGGCACTCATCTGTAGATCTTCTGCCCTGTACAAAGATGAGGCCTTTGAGGTGACCACTCGCAAACCTACTAATACTGGACGAAACTACACTATCTTCCTTGATAGTAAGGGCACCAAATGGAACCTGCCTAAAAGGAGAGCTACAAAGCATGCGAGTAAAATCATATCTCCCGCTGTTGGGATTAAATTCTCATTTTTTCAAACATAAATAATGCAATAAAATTTCTCATAAAATTTTAAAATTTAAATTTTTATTCATACCTTTATTAGTATTTTCATGTTTCTTCTTTTTGCTGTAAACAATACATAGATTTTGATTTAAATGTAGACCACTTGTTTAGTAAAGGTTTGATTTTATTTTTTTTTAAAGATTATCATCTTCATAAGTTTGAAACAAAAAGTTGCGAAATATTTGAAAATAAATTTCATAAATGGTAAATTCGGTTTTAATAGGAAATTCAAAGAGGAAAAACAACACGTTGCTTAAAGAAAACTATTTTTTCTCTAAGTATTTATCCATCACATAACAGATTCCGCATCATCAGAACTTTAAAGTACTCTATGAATAAAGGTATGGTAACATTTACCATACCTTTGTCCACTGCCACAATATGGTAAAACTTACCGAGTTTCTGGCTCTTTGGAAACACAAAAAAGCTCTGTAATTTTTGTCGAAACACTTTAGTAATGATTTTGGTAAAATTAACAATAAAATATGACTTTATATTTTGTGATAAAATATGGTAATTTTATCAAGCTGAATACTTTTCAGTCGCATATTCTTTACTAAATGTGTGGTAATCAGAACTATAGTTTCGAAAACCAGAATTTCCGGTAAACTGTTACCATAAGAACGGAAAGATTACAAAATGAATGGTTTAAATACCGGATATTTTCGTTTTATTTATCAAATCATTCGTTTTTTTATGACATTTTTTTAACTCGAAATGTCATTATCATACAGTGCATTAATTTTATCAGAAAGTTTTTCCTCGTGTATCTACTGAACAAAATTCTTTGAGACTAAATGCATATATTGTTGAAGAAATATAACTCCAGCACAGACACTATAACTTCGTAAACTTTCTGCCGATTTACTAACACACTTAACAACTGGCGTATTAAAATTGTGCTTTTGATAATATATGATTAAATATAAAAATCAATTTTTGCATGATAGAGATACATAAGAACTATAATAATATTTAATTTCAATATTTATTATTTGATTATTAAAATAATTAAATCTTAACACAAACAAAATAATCCTATTTGATACTCTAAACTAAAACTACATTTAAAAAAACTCATACAACCAATTTTAATTAGACCATATGAAATATAAAAATTTGCGAAATAAAATCCAAATTTGTTGAGTCTGCTAAAATAATTATCCTGCCATCCAAACAGGCAGCAACTCACAGAAAGTCGGAATATGCATACATGCAGATATAATAAAGAAAAACACTGTAAAGTTCAATATTTATCACTTAAATAATAAAATAATAATAATAATGTAATTATAATTTAACACTCCCCCATAATACGTGCAATAATATATGCAAAAAATATCATGCAACAATGCAGCTATGATATAGTTAAGTTGGATGCATTTTTCAGAATTATAGCAACTACGAATATTTAAAACAAGCTTTGAGAAAACTTTATTTTTAAAACAATAACTAGTTCTCTAGTTCAATAACTCGTACTACTATTTTTAAATAAAAAAAATAGATAAAATTTTAAAAAATGAAAATAAAAATAAAATTAAATTTAAAAAAAAACACAAAAACAAGACCACTTGGAATGTCCCCCCAAAGCACCCGTAGTATCAGTGTTCTCGACCTGGAGGCTCCCTGGCTTAAGGTTTTAATAGACAGGAACAAACTATTCTTGACCGCTTTCGAAGTGGTCAGCTTAAATCAATGAAATTTTCGGAATGTTCCAAGAACTTTGAAATTTGTACCAACTGTTCTTCAGTCCAGGCTTCGCCTCACCACATCCTCGCCTGCCTGGGGCTCCCTAAACAGGATTTAGCAGATGATCCATTGACGGTGTTGGATTTTTTTTTTAGGGTGTATAACGTCATGGACCTGGTCTAGCACTGCTGGCCAATGGGGGCGTGTAACAACAATATATGGCAACGTTACTTTTAAAAAGTAACGAGTAAAAGTACAAGTATTTTTAAAAAAGGTAACGAGTAAAAAGTAAAAAGTTCGTATTTTAAAAAGTAACGAGTAAAAAGTACAAGTAAAAGTACAAGTACTAAACAAAAAAAGTAACGATTTAAAAGTACATTTCTAGGAAATCGAAAATTCAAAGTAACCTAAAATTTTATTGAATAATATTCTTATGTTCTTTAATGTTTTTGCAAAATTGTTGTTATTTATTTAATTATTTTTAATTTTGAAAGTTATGGATATTAATTTATTTTTAAATTCGGAAGAATATTATAATATAATTTTATAATATAATCGTATAATATAATTTTAAAATCAAATATAATTTTAATATCAAACTTTTTATGGATTTGCACGAAAAAGAAATTTTATCTATTGATTTTAATTTTTAGTTTATTATTTTTATTTATTTAAATTACCATTGATTTAAAATTGTTTTACTCTTTAGAAACGCGTTTTAAAAGCACAAACATAAACAAAGCAAACACGGGGTTTCAGTTAGCTTTGTAACCTTTGAGCTAGTAAAAAATAATTGAATGTGCAGTATAAGTTGAAACAGAAAGTATTTAAACACGAAGTTAGCTGTGAATGCATATATATTGCACATTAATTTTATAAATTAAAAAAACATAAGCATTTTTTTTTATTAAATTTTTTTTTTTGAAAGCTTACCGAGTTTTAGAAAAAAGTAACGATTTTACTCGATATTTCCGTTACAAATACTTGTACTTTTTCCCTAGAAAAGTAACGAAAGTACAAGTAAAAGTACTAAATTTAAAAAGTAACGAAGTACAAGTAAAAGTACGTAATTTTTACTTGTACTGGCGGTACAAGTAACGAAAGTAAAAGTACTGCCATATATGGTAACAACAACAACATAACTCGTGCGTCAATGCAATATATGTAGTTTTGCTGTTTTTTAGCATTTACAACATATATTCTTTTAAAAACTAAATCTGTATATTTCTCAAATATATTTTCGTACATAACAAATATTTTCTTATATCGCCAATGATTTCAAACTTTAATGATTATGTTGCAAATTCCTAAAAAAACTTTTCTGGAATTACTCATTGACTGAAAAGACGGCTTTTAATTTAAATTTTTTATTTAGAACAAAACAGAAACTGAATCGAAACCTGACAAATCACAATACAGGAAAGGACAAGTCATAAACAACAGGACAGGTTTAATTTCAGGAAGAAACAGAGAAGAGTTGATAGACGATTAGAAACTCCTTCGAGCTTCGATCTCTGTATAACCTGTCTAGAAGTTTATTACATTCGCCTTTCTCCACTGAGATTTGTCAGATTTCTATATTAATTGTGCTTTTTCTTCACTTAAGTACTAATTTGTGAACCCCAATGTCTAGATTTTTTTCCATTGTTATAAAACTGCCAAGAAATACATATTAAGTGTGAACTTAACGGAAAATTGTATTTTCCATTACTATTTTCGTAATTTCAACCTACACGAGTTCCTTCTTTCCTTTCATTATGCTCATAATTACAAACAAGTCCAGCGACGGCTGGTAGATGCAAATTCCGCTCACCGACCACAGAGCTAATGAAAAATATCTTCAGTGCTAGACAGATTATGGGTTATAGTCCCCTTGCCATCAGGCTAACCATGAGTGTTTTTCGTGGTTTTCCACCCCATGTAATGCAAATACGGGTTAGTTCTATCAAAAAGTCCTCCACCAAGGTAAATTTCTCCTAATACTTGATCCAGGAATTTCCTTGTCTTCTGGATTGAATTCAAAATTACAACGCTACGGAGTTGGTAGTCGTAAACCCTAATTGGGTTGGCTGTTCAATGACGGTTAAAAAATAAAATTACAAATAACTGAAGCACTTAATGCAATTTCCTATTTCAGAGTTATTATATACTTAAAATGTCAGAATACTTTAAGCCATTTATAATTAAGTTTGATAAATTTAAGCTGCTTCATTTATTTGTTACTTTAAAGACAAACTATAGTACAAACCACCCAGAATGAAGATGAAGATTCCAGAATGAAGATTCTTTTACAATCATATTGCAGGTGTAGGCTTAATAATTAATGACAGTCGAAAGATTGATGGGCGTCATTAGGTTAAGTTAAACTCTTAAGTAAATACTTCCTCTCCCTTTGCCTAATTAGGCTTAGTACATTGATAGATACTCTATCATTGGCAGACGCACCTCACAAGCTTAATTAATGTTTATAAAATTCTATGCTTGATTTTGACGCAGTCTGAAACTGGAAATATCTTCTTCTCAAACTTTTTGGAATCAGAATACTAAGAATAGTTCTTTTCAGAGCGAACTTTAAAAGAAAACATTGTAAAAATACTTCTTTTCAATTTCAGCTTTTAGCGAGAAGCTGAATTTTTAAGCTTAATAGACGAAATAAAATAACTACTTCACCTAGTTGTCTTGGTATAGATATTTAAAAAATGAACTAAATTAAGTATGTGGATCGTAATTTCTATTAATACATACAATTTCAT